AAAAACGACCGGCCGGGTCTTTACAGAACCTCGAGTCCCCCTTGCACCAAGCTGATGCTAGATGTGAATACCACTCTAGAGCAGTGGGACATGATATTGAAGACTGTTGGACTCTTAAAAAAGCAGTGGAAGACCTCATCAAGGTCCAAGCAATAGTGCTTAGGGACAAAGAGGCCCTACTATGATGAACAATTCTCTGCCTACTCACACCAATGGGCCAGTAATCGGAATGATTTGTGAAGATAAAGAATTCGATCCGGCATTGAAGGCCATTGCAGCCATTGCCGAGACATAAGAAAAGCCAAAAACACGATCACTAAGCCTGAGAGTTCCCCATCAGATGGGAGTCTCGGTAGCCAATCTTGCTATCCTTTCTGCATCTGGATTATCTCAGGGTGTAATCCACATGTTTACTTTATTGTCTTACTTTCCGATGTAAACCCTTCTATCTTTAAAATTCAAAAATAATCATCAAAAAAATCAAATGAAATTAATATTTCATTTTCCAAGAATGTCTCTTTTCTTAATCTTGTCACTTTTCTTATTCTCTTTTCAATTCTATTAATGTAGATTTCAATCACATGACATGCTTGTAGACTTCATGCCCAAATCCTAAAACGTTGTCAGACTTTGAAATAATGAATCAAGAATTAGAATGCAGTGAAAATAGGTTTAAGGAAATAAAACAAAGAATCGGAACAGCTAAAGGAAAATTGGCTCCAGATTTAAAAGATCCATACATGGTAACGTGAGTACTGCCAACAGAGAGCGTTGTACCTGGGAAACATCGAAGGAAATGTCCCTGAAACAACTGTCAATGCAGGTACAGTCAAAAGGTACTATGTTTGATCCTCTATATAGCATTAATGCTCTGATTGGGATGACGAAGGCTTTCTTTCTCGCTATCCAAACACTATTAACCCTTTTGCCAACCCTTTGAGCCGGTTACCTTCCTTTGATTACCCTCTTTGGAACCTGAAAGTGTTGTTGAAAAAAAAAAGACAAAAAGAAAATGAGATGAAAAATGAGAAAAAAAAAAGTGGAAAAAGGAAAGGAAAAAGAAAGAGAAAACAAAACAAAACAGAAGAAAAAGAAAAACAAAAGAAAAAAAACAAAGTTGCTTGTACTAAGTTCGACTTGATTCCAAAAGGATACATAGGCAGCCTCTCTCTGGAGTTCAGTCACACCAAAACAAAAATCCAAATTCCCACAAAGGTTGAAACTGGGGTAGAAGTTATTATGGTTCGTCGATGATTTCGCCTGAATGGTTCCAAAGTTGTAATTCAATCTAAATTCTTTTTACCTAAATCCTTTTCAAGTCCTTTCGATCAATCGATTAGAATGTTGAAGAATTGGAGGGTACACTCGCTTGGATCTGATACAATCAAAATGAGAGAAATAAAATGAGAGAGTCTTATTGGTGGAAACCCTCACGGGCACCGTAAGGCGATGGTAAGCAGAGAAATTAAAAATGAGAGAGTCTTGTTAGTGAAAACTCGCAAAGAGCACTATAAGGCGCTGGTGAGAAGAGAAATGGGAGAGGTTAGCTGGTGAAAACCCGCGAAGGGCGCCGCTGATCGAAAAAGAGGATCTCACAGTCACTGGCATTGACACAGTCTTGGGCAAGGTTTCTTGGATTCGAGGAAAAATTCGTGATGAATTTCTGAGAGTCGGACGGCTTACACAGATCGGGCATCCAGTCCAAAAAACATGCATGTTCATTAAAGTCCGCATATACTCCAGATAAGTCCTCCTTTCCTTTACCTGAAAGGGATACCTCTTGTCTAAATTCATTGTCCATTCCATTGTTTGTTTTTCTTTGAATCCCTTTCGATCTAACTCTGTTCCGAAACTAAGACAAAGAAAGGATGGTAAGACTGATTAACAAGGCTCTCCTTTTATACAAGCTAATACGCAAGAAGGCACACAGCCTCGACAAGGGCATCAAGTCGACTTCGATTGGCCATGATGGCTGATGTTTTGAAATTGAACACTCTCCAAAGAAGGAAATCAAATGGAAATGCCTACAAGAGCAAAAATGTTTGAGTCCCACGCGACTAACCGTCTAGCAAGGTTTGAAAAGCTAAAGATTCCCCAATGCTTTGAAGTTAAAACTAAAAGAAGGAAATTAGACTGAAATGTCCACGAAGGCAAAACAAAGTTGAAAAGGTTAGGTCACACGTGACCAACCGCCATGGCAAGGTTTGGAAAAGCCAAAGGTTCTCCAGGGGCCAGAAATGCACTCGGTATCCAGGAAACAACCAGTTACAGTTGAAACCATCATCAAGAAGCCGGCCGAGATCAAGTGACTAAAACACTCAAGGACGCAAAACCAACCACCTTTTCAAACTGACAAATTGTTCTTTGTTTGAAAACATGAAACAAGTGCAATCCAAACAACCTTGCAAGAAGCAGGTGCAACTAAAAGAAACCGTGCGGAGACTAAAATAGCTCTGCAACCACAACAACTCCAAAAAAGGGAAGACTTCTCCAAATTCTTATCCTGCATTTTACTCATTTTCTTAATAAAAGAAAAGGAAAAAAAGAAAGAAAGTTCCAAGTTATGGTAGTATAGGGTCTCCAATCCCTAGCTGCATATTCCAACATAGAGTCTCCACTCCCTAGTTAATTTTATTTTAGACATAAGGCCTCCACTCCCTAGTCGCTTTTCCAACATAGGGTCTCCACACCCTAGTTGATTTTGTTTTAGACATAGGGTCTCCACTCCCTATTCGCTTTTCCAACATAGGGTCTCCACTCCCTAGTTGATTTTGTTTTAGACATAGGGCCTCCACTCCCTAGTAGATTTTCCAACATAGAGTCTCCACTCCCTAGTTAATTTTTTTTAGACGTAGGGTCGGTCTCCACTCCCTAGTTGATTTTGTTTTAGACATAGGGTCTCCACTCCCTAGTCGCTTTTCCAACATTGGGTCTCCACTCCCTAGTTGATTTTATTTTAGACATAGAGTCTCCACTCCCTAGTCGTTTTTTCAACATAGGGTCTCCACTCCCTAGTTGATTTTGTTTTAGACATAGGGTCTCCACTCCCTAGTCGCTTTTCCAAGATAGGGTCTCCACTCCCTAGTTGACTTTGTTTTAGACATAGGGTCTCACTCCCTAGTCGTTTTTCCAACATAGGGTCTCCACTCCCTAGTTGAAGTTATTTTAGACATAGGGTCTCCACTCCCTAGTTGATTTTATTTTAGACATAGGGTCTCCACTCCCTAGTCGTTTTCCAACATAGGGTCTCCACTCCCTAGTTGATTTTGTTTTAGACATAGGGTCTCCACTCCCTGGGCGCTTTTCCAACATAGGGTCTCCACTCCCTAGTTGAAGTTATTTTAGATATAGGGTCTCCACTCCCTAGTCACTTTTCCAACATAGGGTCTCCACTCCCTAGTTGATGTTATTTTAGACATAGGGTCTCCACTAGTCGCTTTTCCAACATAGGGTCTCCACTCCCTAGTTGAAGTTATTTTAGACATAGGGTTTCCACTCCCTAGTCTCTTTTCCATCATAGCGTCTCCACTCCCTAGTTGATATTGTTTTAGACATAGGGTCTCCACTCCCTAGTCGCTTTTCCAACATAGGGTCTCCACTCCCTAGTTACTTTCATTTTAGACATAAGGTCTCCACTCCCTAGTCTCCGTTTTCTCAGGGTACACCAATCTCGACCTTTTATTTTCTTTCAATAATAAAATAGTATAGAGTTTTGTTACAAATAACTCACAAAATTTTCCTAGTGAAAATTGGAGCAGAAAAATTTCGTCCGTTCGTTTATTTTGGTGTCAGAGCAGGTTTTTACCTCGAGGCACAAGGTTCGAGATGACCAAAAGAAGATGTCTCAATCCAAAAAAAAAAGAAAAAGAAAAGAAAAGAAGTGAATCCAAAGTGCAGAAGCGGAGAAAATATGTGCACTGCTCAAGACATGACTGAAGTCACAAGCTTTGCATGTTCCGTCTTGATCTGAAAAAGCCGAAGAAGAATGAACTAGCACCTGCAGCTAGCAAGCATCAAGGTTCAGATCAGAGTCTGCATGAAGAACCAGCCAAGACTCAAAATCAAGCTTCAGAAGACTTAGAGATAGGAACCTTGTAACTCATAGCTGATAGGCTTGTTTACCTTCTTTTCATTTTGATTTTGGTGCATTAAGGAGCTCAGCAAGCAGTAACAGCAGCAACAACAATGAAATCACAGCTATTCGGTAGTCCCAGCTACCAAAACCTCCAGAACTACACTGGCCTAATTCCTTTATAGCCAAGGATATGTAGGCAACCTCCGAAGCAAGGTTCGGTCAAACTTTTTCAAAATGCTTCCCATGGAGTATCAAACGGGCAAAAATTGTTCATGATTTCTCACTTTATCTTTCCCGAAAAACTCTTCGCATTTTCGAGCAAAGAGAGGCAGCTGTGAACACCTGATTTTTCCCCACATAGAAAATTACTCTTAAAAAATAATTTTAATTATTTTTATGAATTTTAGAAGTTTCTCTTTATTTGTTTTGAATTTATTCGCATTGTTTATGCATGTTAGGAATATCGTAAATCATAAAAAATATTCAAACCTTAATTTCATAGCCTTTTAGATTTCAAATTGCATTTTAGGATTTAATTACATTGTTAAATACATTATTTAAATAACTAAAAATCAAAAAAATGCATTCTTAGGTTAGTTAATTAATTAGGTCATTAATCAGTAAGTAAAATATATAAAATAGTTTAGCCACACAAATTGGATTTAATTAAAATTTGAGTCCATAGTGGCTAATTTGCAAAAAGTCTAATAAAGAAGGAAAGAAAAGAAAGGGTCTGCAGAATTGGGCCAAATGGGTTTAGGCGGCCCAATTACCCTTCAATCCACATGAATCCCACCCTAGCCCAATTCCCATTACCAGGCCTGCCCCGTAAAACACCCTAAACGATGCTGTTTTAGAGTCAAACGACGTCGTTTCCTTTTCACCACCTATTAAAACATCATTCCCCAAAAACCCTAACAAGACCGGATCCCCTCCCTAAAAAGAATCCTAGGAACAGTCATTCCCAACTCCTCTTTCTCTAACAAAAACAGAACCCCCTCCTCTAACAAAACCTAGCCGCCACCTCCATCTTCTCCCACACTCACCCTTCATTCTCAGCAAAGATAGATGAAGATTCGGACCTCCCCCTTTTACTAACCCTAGCCGCCGCCCCTAATTCCCTAAGACTCTAAGAGACAACACTGACACAAAGAGAGATAGGAAGATTCCATTCACTCGCACTCTACTGCGCTCACCAAATGCACACACAGACACACTCATATATAAACAAAGGGAGGCGTCTGAAATTTTATTACAGATTCAAATTAAAACGGAAAGCAAGAGTTTGTTTTTAAATTCAAACTTGTAGCTGAGATGTGAGAGAATAAAAGTTCCAAAAACAGAGGAAAATTGGGATTTTAAAAGGGATTCTGAAGGTATTACTACTGGTGCGGATTGCTTTCTACTTTTTGGGTTTTGGGAGACCAATTCGGTCTCAAATCGTTGTTTGTTGTTGTTTGTACTGGAACTGCTAGCTGGCCAAGAAAGGTCTATGCAATTCAAAATGTCTAGCTAGAGTCTGAGCTTTATATCACTTGCTATCTTCTGCACTCAGATTCACTTTCGTCTTAAGGTATTGTTCGACTCCAACTTTGTAATTCATTTTGGGTAAATAAAGTCACGATGTTGTTGTGTTTTGCTTGTTCAAATTTGAATATGTCTCATGCCACTTTTATACTTCCACACGTTATTTGGATGATGATATTCTAAGTAGATCATATGAACTGAAGGCATGAACATCTAGCTGACTATGTGCTCAATGAGGATTCAGTGTATGAACACTAAAAACTGATGTTGATTTCCATAAAAACTGCTTTCCTCCCTCTGTGTTTCACCTGATAAATGTGTCAAATGCATGATTCGAAGAACAATAATTCCAGATCTTTTTTCATGGGTGTTTGAATTGTTTGCTTGATTTCTCTTATTTCTATTTTGCTGATATTTGTTATTATTCAACTGTTAAGTCAATATGAAATTTAAGTGGTTGTTTGTTTTCATTAATTGTCATATTATCTTGTTCATGTTAGATATTGGTTTTCTTTGGATGCATCATTACTGTAAGTCATCCTTTTAGTTGAATTGAATTAACGGATGAAGTTAATTGATTTTGGTTGATTTGTTTCATAAAGATAAAATAGTAGTGAGAGAGGAATACCACATTTTGTTTTAAATGAAAATAGACCTTGTTTGTATGTAAAGTGGGGTTTAGGTTCCCTTTGAGAATAACGGATTTGGGCCAAAATATCTGCTAGGCCCAACATCAGCAAACAAATAAGCTAACCTTTATTAAGGGCTTTAGATATAAGTGAGCCTCTCAATGATAACAATGACTAAGTCTTACACTTTGTTCACAACAACTTCCATGATCTATGGCCTTACAATAATCTCAAGTTTAGGAAAAATGATAATTCATGAACAATCGTAGCTTGCTTTAGGTGCGTAAATAAATCATCGCGATCATGGGTACGGTTCTCGTGGCATGGTCATGATACGTAAATCCTAACTCAAGTGTGTGTTTCACGCGTCTTGATCACAACTTCAAATAATAATTAAAATAAGCATATTGTAAACTGCGGGTGCGTTTCACGTGACGCGATTCACAAGATGTACAAAAACAAACGAGTGCGCAACATCGCGACTTGTTCAAATAAATTTCATAAATCCTGAAGGCAATTAAAATTCTATTAAAAGTGGATAGAAAGTTAAAATGCACAATAAGTTTAAAACATGTAATAAATCAGATAATTAGGCTAATTATTAATTGTTGAGCGACCTTGCTAATACCACGGAATTCGGGAGTGTCTCACACCTTCTCCTGGGTTAACAGAATTACATACCTGGTCTTCTGGTTTTTGCAGACTTTAAACAGAGTCAAATTTCCTCGATTTGGGATTTAAAATAAACCGATGACTTGGGACACCATAAATTACTCCAAGTGGCGAATCTGATAATAAATAATCTCATTTCGAATAATGTCACTTTAATTGGAAAAACTCCCTATTTCTTCGGTAAAAAGGTGTGACAAGGGTTTCGAAAGAATGTTGAACAGACAACAATCAACTTGTGACTGTGCCTAGTCGAAGTTGAAGTCGAGGTGTGGCCGACATGTGGTCATAACTAGTGAGGGGTCTTTTGTATATTTTGATATTAATGCAAAGGTTGAGAAATTTTCTCGTATCTGATTATGTCTTTACTTTTACTGCCTAAAATTAATCTAAGTTCCTAAGAAGTTTTAAGTGCCGGAAAGATTGAGTCAAGTCTTGACTGCCGCACAGTGGGCGAACCTCGGGCAGAAATTCGGGCATAGAAAATCACCCTTGTGACACCTACCATGGTAGTGATGGGTGACGGAGAATTAGGGTTCGATTCCGGAGAGGGAGCTTGAGAAACGGCACGCGCAAACTACCCAATCCTGACACAGGGAGGCAGTGACAATAACGGCTTGTTTGGATGGTTGTTACCCATTGTATTGTATCGTATTGTTACTTTAAGTACAATTTTTGTTTTGATTATTACTTATTTATTGTATCGTATCGTTAAATCCGTCGTTGCGAAACGACGAAAGGTACTACTTTATGGAACGACGGATTTGGTGTGGTAGCGTCGTTACCTTGTTTTGTTCTCTCATCTTGCCCTTCCTTATTAATAAAATAATTATATTTTATCTTTTACCCTACTTTTTTATACAATAATTATACTCCGTATCCTATTTTTTATTAGTAATATTGCAAGTTTATTCTTCATATTATTGGTGCATGACATCATAAACGACGACAAACGATATCTATCCAAACGTTGCATTCATTAAACAATACGGTACAATACGATACATTATAAAACAACATGTAACAACAACCCAAACAAGCTGTAATAATAATATAGGCTCTTTGAGTTTGGTAATTAGAATGAGTACAATCTGAATCCCATAATGATGATCCATTGGAGGGCAAGTCTGGTGCTAGCAGCCGCAATAATTTCAGCTCCAATTAGCATATATTTAAGTTGTTGCACTTAAAAAGCTTGTAGTTGGACTTTGGGATGGGCCAACGGTCCACCCTAGCCCTTCAACCTTTTCTGGAAACAAATCAGCATGCAAGAAACATGAAAAACTCGAAAAGACATAGGGTGCTCAATCAGAAACTCTATCATTCTCCATTTGAATTTGTCGTTCTAATGTGGACTCTCACCAGAACTTAAGTATTGTACAAAATTTGATGCGGAAATAACGCTGTGGTATTTACCCTACGATAACACCGAAGCTTTTGAGACACGCAGTTTTTGACTAAATGCTAGCGACCAACAAATAAGAATAATACAAGAAATTTTTTAAGAAACAAAAAAGAAGAAGAGAGAAAGCAGCAACTACCTTTCTTACAGGAAAACCAAGGAGCATATGACCCCCATTCAATTTTTATAAATAACTTGGGAGAAAATTTTTTACAAAGCAAAAACAGGCCTGCAACTTCCCCTTGCAAAATCATTTAAATGAAGTGAAGCCAAAACGAACTGCTACATCTGTCACTCATATGCCCCTAAAGTTAGCTGGATCAAATTTCAGCCAACATGCTGTTCCTGGCAAAAACTTGGCCATTTACAACCTCATTATACACTGTCAATTAACGTCCTATGTACAACAGCTTGAGGAGACCTGCCAGTCTCCCATCCCACACAGCCCTCTACATTGACCAACAACAACATATGCGACCAACTCGTTCCCGAGTCCTACATCTGGAGCCACTAGGCACTTGCACACGAAAGATCATATGCTTCATGTCTTCCTGGAAGTGCCAATATACAGATCTCCTGTTTCCTTGGATCGGTCCCAAGCCAGCAATCTTATCAGTGGTTACTGTGCAACGTGGAATAACGAATCCATGCTTCTCTCCGAGCAGAGTGAAACTTAACAGGCCATTCTTTAATTGCCCCTAAGAAGCCATGTATATTTTTTGAATACAAAACACACCCTGCTAATCCCACAATCACCCCTGACTAATTGCAGTTTTCAAGCTCTCTTCAGAGAGTGTCCATGAAAGCAAATGTCCCCCAGAATCTCCGCTCAACAACTGTTTCAGATCACTAGTAAGGTGGAGGGAAGTTACAGGATGCTTGTGAAACTTAAGTACCTTGTGAAGGATCAACCTATACTCTGGTACTCTATCCCCGAGCCCTAACCCTCCAGTAGGATTGCCACTTGATTTACTTTGGGCACTCTCCTCACAAGAGCAATGTACCATTTTCCAAATTTTAATGGCTCCACTCTGGTGGCCTGAGATATACCACTTAGTTTCCAGCCAATCAGAGAATGTGCAACCAGCAAGTGAAAGGATAAAGTCTGATGGAAGCTGCGATGTGTTGATGACAGCAAGGCACTCCCCATTGATGCTCCAAACAGCAAGCATTACACCGGCAGCAGTAATAATTTCCCCAGTCAGGTCATTTACATAAATTGCTGAAACAGGAGCGGGTAACTCAGGAAGCTGCCTAACAAAAACCATGGAGCTCAAATCCCACAAGATAACAGTGCAGTCGTCCGATCCACTCACAATCATCATGTATGGCTGGCTAACTTGTAGGCATGTGATTTTGCCTGTATGAGCACAGAGAGCCTTCTCCAACTGCAAGCGCCTTACAGAACGGGGCGCCTCCTTACCGATCCTCCAAACACAAACCAATCCCTCATCAGCCCCTGTAACTAGAATATGACCGTCGTGACTAGCACTGACACACTGTATCTGGTTCCCTCCATGAAGATTCTCATGAGTGGAGAGAAGCCTATCTTGATCATAGCTCATAAATCTCAAACTGCGGTCAGGATAACCCCAGGCAACATATTTAGTGAATGTTCTAGGCTTCAGCAAGGTGTTTGCCCCTGCCACAAGAATTTTGTCACCGGAAGTGACAATCTGAGATATAGAAGATGAGGTTTTACGAATCTCGTGTGGGACAAGATGCTGAGAGTGCTTCAATGGGTGAGGAGGAAGCTTCCGATTAGTTCGCCTCTTCACATGGGGCTTGAGGAATAATTGTTTTGGTGTTTGCCCAAAGTGATTAATTTGAGCAAGAATCGAGGCTTTCATTGCTGGATCACTAACAGAGTCAATGTCAACACTGCCTTCATACGTGTAGTGATAGAACACATTAACTGCTTCTTCAGCTGCCTGTCAACAAAATATTTACAGTTTAGTTTGCAAAAGGGGTAAAGTAATATTGGACTTTCAAAATCTTACAAATCATGTGAGAAATGGTAAAAAGGATGTGGTAACTTATCCAGGAAAAGCAATCACTTGAAACAGAAAAACGAATAAATTGACAGTGAAAGAATTGATCAGTATTGCAAGCAACGTCATTTGTTTTTTTTTATTTAAGAAAAGTGAAATGTCGTTTGGTGATTGCAAAGAACACAAAGCCAATAAAAACTAAAATCTAACAAAAGCGTAGAAAGAACTCATTTTAACATATGGATGAAAGCGAGATGCAAGGACAGAAGAAAAGAAGAAAAGAATATCTAGACACTTACTTTCCCCCTCTGTTTGTGACCAAAGATTAGGTCTATCCAGTGATGCAGATTCTCTGAAACATAATCAGACTCCAGTGCTTCTCTATGCTTTTTAATAAACTCCCTAACACTGCCTTTAGCCCATGGAGGCAATACAACATCGCCAACCTGATGAAGAACTGTATGCTATTAGAAAACTATCAGGATTAACATGGCAGTTGTTCTTCTATTTAGACAAGCTAGTTCTCATAAAAGGAGGAATATCAAAATAGAATATGGAGAAGCAAGACAAACCTTCTCTCCTGACTGTTTCTCACCCAGGTCAAGATTGAACATATTCTCCAGAAACTCGGGCATGTAAAAGAACTCTGGAATTAATTCTTTAACATCTGAAGTATTGCCTTTCCCTGCAGCACTTAACCATGTGTCCTTTATACTATTGAAAAGACGATCAGCATGATCAAATTGACCACCCTGCAGCTTCTGATTCTCAGCACTAAAAGGTGGAAGACGTATGAGGTAGAAGAGGACAATTCCAGCGCTAGAATAGTGAGAACCATAATGGAATTTGGGAACCTCGGGATCATCCCAGCTCTCATATCTGAAACAACGGAAAATATTAAATATAACAATGGGGAAACCAAAAACGGTCAAGAAAGGTATGTGATTCCAACGAAATGCAAATTAATATAAAATTAATAACTGAATGGTAAAAGCACCAACCTCTTTCTGAACTCCTCTTCACCCTCCGTTGTTTGACAGCCCATTGGTTTATCAAGCCTTCGGAAAGTTCGAGGATCTGAGAAGTTCAGATTCTCACTCTCATAATCTGCTAAAATCCAGGGGAACACAGGATACTGGGTGAGATCACTGTATCCACGTCCTGCGAGCGTGTTGAGGTGCATGAGGTACTGGAAATTGCTAATTTCACCATTTTGCCATCTCTTAGAAAATGAGTTTGCCATAACCTTGAAAAGGCGGCTTCCTTCATTGCTATCTGGTTTTACCGACCCTGATATTGTCGTGTCCAACCTGTAAAATAGGCAATGACTTCCTTGAAGCTCTAATGCTTGTCACAATTAAAAGACAACAAAAGACAAGCATGTATGAAGAATGATTAAAGCAAAAAGACTACTCTATTGAGCACAAAGTCAATTGATTTAACCTGGCCTTCTTTAATCACAAGGCAACCGACAAACCGGTGCACCAAATCTATAGCAAACCAGCCACAACATTACAACGAATACCATCATCGCATTCCAGAAAGGAACCATGTTGATTTGCAGCTATGCATAATTAATCTTTGGTGAACTTATTGACAAGATATCCAAGTAAGGTGGAACCAGCAATTCAAATGTTAGATGAGAGAAGCAAAAAACATGATCAAATTAGAGTTAGAACATACATGGAGTTTCTGGGAAGATTCATGGCCACCAAATTCTTGAAAACCTCTTCTCTCTCCTTCTTGTGGAAAACCAGAAGATCATTGCAGCCATCCATGCTAAAAATCTCAATGGCAACAGGGCGAAGTTGATAATCACGCTTCAAAATCTCATGAACACTGTCAAGCTTCCACATATGCCAAAGATGGGGCACATTACCACTAGTGAAAACCTTTTCCTTTCCCCACGCACCACCATTATATGCCCATGCCCTCCCCCCAACATAGGCCTTTGTAGTTGCAGCCCAGGAGGAACTTGACTTTGAGTGGGAGTCCATGCTACAAGAGAGGTCCTTTTTTACACCCAAAGCCTGATCAATGACAGATAGATCATCTTCACTTTCTTTTTCACATATGCACCCAGAGTCATCAATGTAAAAATTCTCAATGATGTATAATGATAGTTCTCCAATCAGAAATATGCCATCATGTTTATCAAGACCAACCACTCTCTCACAGTTATATTTGTACTTTATTCTCTCAGAAGGTTCCAAATATGGTCTAATCAAGTATTCACCATTATCACTTAGTTCCTTCTCCGGTTTGTCCTCCACCGTTCTTGTTTCATCAGCTTTTAGAGAAGAAGATTGCCTGGGAGATCCAAGATCAGACTTCCGTTGAACACTCTCAGATTTTTGAATGGAAGCACTACTGGACTTGGGGCCAAGTTCAAGAGCAGAGCTGAGACTTGTTTCATTAATGCTACTATCATGGTCATCATTCCATCCAGTTCT